TCAAATATTTTTTAAAACATCATTTTACACTGTGCCACAGAGGCTAACCAGCAAAATTCAACAGCCCAGACCTCACCTGAAGCCCTCAGTTTTGTCCCATGTTTTAGAAATACTGAGTTCAGCATCTGATTTCAGTTTAAGTTTCAAAAACCACTCACAGAAACAAGGTCATCAGTCAGCATGAGAACGGTGCTCTCTAGCTCACTGCCAGCTTTAAACTATGGGGTTTCCCCGAGGAGCCGAACGTTAAGTTCATCTATTCACTGTATTTCTAGAGCCCCTGCCCTGGGCCAGAAAGCAGGAATACAGTGGTGAACTCTTTGCTAAGATAGTATTTGGCACAGCATATAAAAATAGTTGAAGCTCATTACTGAGTTGCCAGCAAACATTAAAAGCACACATGAGCAACAGCAACAGCAGGATACCCGACTTCCCTTTTCTTCCAGATGGGGCTGGAGCCCAGACAAACAAGGGTTGACCCCACAGCCAGGGGAAGTGAAAACCGCAGCTCAGGGCTCCTGCCTCTGGCCCACCGTCTTCCTACCCGTCTACCGTGGCCCGCATCCAGACTGACACAGGAAGGCCCGGAGCAGCAAGGCGATGCCACGGGGGCCTCGGCTTGGCAGGTGCTCACCTGGAGGGCAACAGCACGCAGCTCCTGGGGTTGGCTCACGATTTCTTGTACATGCACAGAGAACATTACTTCCGGCTAGTCAGAAGCCGTTTTTTACATTAGTACATATAAGTGAGTGCTGCTTGTATGTACTAACAGTAGAAAGCAAAAAAGGCCAAAGGGACAATGTTCACAATGAAGGCAGATAAAGCAAGTACATCTGTGTCAGGAAGAGCAAGGGCAGCGAATAGGTCTCGGGAGTGTAGGGTATGAGGACTAGTATCCTATCTTCACTAGGAAATCCTGCCTTTTCTTGGGAACTTGTCCACACAATGCAACCAACTACAGAAACAACTGCAAGGGAGAAATAAAGGTTTTCCCCACAGAAAAACCCGAAGTGTTGGGGCCTGGGAGACAGGTCAGTAGAATAAGTGCTTCCCTGGCAAGCTCAAGGTCCTGAGTTTGATCCCTGTTACCACCACCAAAAAAACCCCCAAAGCATTACTTCTCTGAATTACTTCTAGTATTTATGACCTTTATTTTTTATTTTTTAAAAATGGGTTTTCAGTATGTAGCTTAGGCTGGTCATGAACTCACTCTGTGGCCCAGGCTGAGCTCCTGGTATTCCTCTTGCCTCAGCCTCCCGAGTGCTGGGATTGCAGGCTTGTACCACCAAACCCAACAATGACTATTTTCTAACCAAATATTACCCTATAAAAGTCACACTATTTTTGAAAGCCATACCATATCTGTCTCCAAAAGCAGAAGAAATGTGTGTGCTTTAATTGATGAATTACAAAACTGCAATGTGTATTTTGGAAGCCAATGACATGCAGAAGACTTTCTTGAAAAGTGAGGGCAAGGTGAGGGTACACTCGCCAGTGGGAGTTTTGCTATCATCAAATATAAAAGCAACTTTGAAGGGCTAATTTCCAAATAACATGATCAGTGATTTCTAGTCTTATTTTCTTTCCCAAATAAGTAATGTTTAAAAGTAGAATTTTAAACCCATGACACATTTTTAAATAATCAAAAACCTTATAATTCCTCCACCTTCAACTCGGCATGATCTAGAGTCAAGAGTTCTACTGATACAAAATCCAGTGTAGAAGCAACTCACAGGAAAAGCCACCTCTTAACGTATCCTCCCCCAAAGGAGCCCTTCTCCACTGTTAGTGGGAGTCCAGGCTGGTACAACCAGTATGGAAATCAGGACGGAGATTCCTCAAAAAGCTAGGACTGGAGGCCCATTCCAGCCAGCTGTTCCCCTCCTGGGAATTTTTCCATAAGAACTGAAATCATCATACCACACCGATGTATGTGCACCCATGTAGATAGCAGTGCAATTTGTCAAGCTAAACCTTGGAAACCCAAGTGTCATTCAACTGAAGAACAGATAAAAAAGATATGGTATTTTTATACAGTGGAGTATTAATAAGGCTATAAATAAGGCTCTTGTAGATAAATGGATGCAACTAGAGACTATTTGTAAGTGAAATAAGACCCACACATGCAAACGTCATATTGTCTCACTGGTATGAGAATGTGAAAGAGTAAATAAAATCAGGAAAGGTGCAACAGATACTGTGAAAGGGAGAGAATTTGTTCAATGGAAAGGAAAAACAGGGATAAGGAAGAGGACAAAAGAAAGAAGAGAAAAAGATATGCTCAGGTACATATGCAGGACAATTGGGATAATTTTACTGCTTATTTCTGCTGGTCTTTTGAAAGGAGCAGTTAATACTTAATTTTCTTACTATTTTTCAATTTTTAACTTTTTTGTTGATTTATGTTTAAACCAATTTTGCACGTTTGTATCTGGTAACATAAACAACTACCTTGAAGATAGTATCATGCAATACAGGAACCACTGTTGAATTCCTATTTGTGAAATTTTGTATCATTTCTAATGCTGTTTTCATTACTATTTTGTATTCTTTAAAAAATTAATGTTTTTTCCCCATAACTGACATGATTTACTGCTAAATGTCTATAAGGCTCTTGCTCCATTATCAGTTATATACAACAGCTCTTTCTTTTACACTTGGAAACTACAAGGTTTTCTTTTAAATTCACAAACATGGGCCGGTGAGATAGCTCAGTGGTCTAAAGCGCCTGCTTAGACAAGCTTAGGCGAGTGTCCAGGGACCTTGCAGGGCCAGGGAGATGGCTCAGTAGAAAAAGCGCTTGCCTGCCAGAGACCTTGCTTTGATCCCCGGCACCACACGCCACGCCAGCTGCACCCCAGGCGAGGCTGAGCCAAGCCGGCTGCAATAAATAAATAAATTCACAAACTTTTACATGAAGAGTGATTCTGATAGGAAGTATTCAGGCAACATATCACATTTAAGAAAAGAAATCCAAAACCGCATGAGGGGCATCAGGAAGCCCCATACTCAATCTAATCCTTGAAATCAGACCTAGAGACATAATGTGCAGACACTGCAAAACACAAGATAGAAATACGTTAAGGGCTTAGATTGTTCAGTACTAGCTTCGAGGATAAAGTTCAGTGATAAAACTTTATTAAATTTTTAACAAGACAGACTGAGGGTAAAGTAGGTATGCAGTATTTGAAAAACTACAAAAGACTACATGGTTGAGAAAAATGGTATTTGAGTATTTTCTTAATTTGCTTGAATGTAATCAAAGGGAAATACAACCTAGTTTTCTTTTCCAGTGGTTAAACTTTGTATCTGCTTCCTAGGTCAAAGAGTTTGCAATGAATTAGAAATCATTATAAAAATGACAAGCCAGATACTTGAAATATAGAAGGCATTATACAACTCTACCATTTCAGTGTATTAGAACAAGAAAAAATGAGAGGCTCCCAACCAGTACAGTCTGAGTCATCCACAGGTATGCTCCAGTTCTGAGTGTGTAAAACCACGGCTCCACCCAGCGCTCGCCAGTGACGGAGGCCGTCTAGGCACACTGCAGAAGACAACTTCTCCATCTTTGTGGGCACAGCGATGGTTCTGCCAGGGGACAGTGATCAGAAGCAGTATCCCCATTCGGAAAGAGTAGGTAATTAACAGCTTTTCAGATTCCTTCCCCTTTGACACGACTATCAGGAAAGTTCAAGGGTGTCCGTCCCGCAGGAGGTCCCTGCCAGCTGGACACTTATACAACATGCATGCCTGAGGTGAACACATTTGCTGTTTCAAGCCACCAGATGGGCTGGACCCCGGTTAGACACCCAGTACTGCATGCTATGCCAGCCCTGGAAACCGGGGTGCACGGAGCAGGCTGCTGAGTCCCAGCATGGGGGCGCATGCCTGTAATCCCCGTGCTGGGGAGGCTGAGACAGAAGGATCAATATGAGTCTGAGCTGCGTAGTGAGACCCTGTATTAAATAAAAAAACAAGTAATTTTTAATTTTCTAAAAAGCCGCTGGACTTGTGAGGGTTTCGGTCATTGCAACTAACTCTTCCAAGCGAAGTAAAAGGTGCACAGCTACTTACGAGTCCAAAGGGCTGCGGAGAGGCTTGTCTGAACCTGGAAACACAGCTGGAGCCTACTAGCTATGCGCGAGTCTCTACTTGTACCAAAACGCATGCTTCTTCTGGCATGAGAGGCTACCCTTCGGTCAAGACTCTGCAATCCCACATGGGTACTCGGTGCAAAAGACACCAATTTCAACATATCACATCAACGTTTACTTTTATTCTTTTAAACGGGGCACTATAATGCTTAACATCTGAACATGTATCTTCTTCACAAATATTAAAACTCCACTTCAGGGCTGGGGAATGCGTAAAAGTGGCTGCCTAGCAAGCATGAAGTCATGAGTTCAATTCCCAGTACAAAGGGGAAAAAAAAAAGACTTGAAAAATCCCTCGTAAGCCCTAGATCAGCACTGCTGGTCTTTGGACAGCAGCTTCACTGCCACTAGGGGGAGCCATCTGCCGTGTTGGCTGTCCACCACAAGGACGCTGAGAACCGCCAAGCTACACCTGCCGGGAAGTTACTCCAATCTAGTGCTGGCTTTTCTAAACAAATTATACGAGTGCCAGACTAGACAGACAGTCACTTGGAAAGCTGTGAAGTGTCCTCAAGCAGCTTCAAAGACAGATTTAGGAGGTCTGAAGTGGGGACAAGAAACACATTAATACTTCCGACACAGGCTTTCCAGACGCTTCTGGTGCAGAGCTGAGCTTGCGGGCACTTGTGTGGGAGATTTCAACCACTCTGTCCTCTCCCAAGAGTTTCACCACCTACAGGGCAGCATCTGTGATGGCGACCAATCTACCTGGCGCAGTTAGATAAGACTGGCCCTCCTGAGAACAGAATTTCCAAACATTTTAATTACAAATCACAGGGACCAAACATGGTTATCTTCAAATTTAAATTTATTAAGACATTCAGTTATGTCTGTCCATGTACATCCAAGTCTGCTACTAAAAATAAAATAAAGTCACATCCCACATCAGGAATACCGAATCTGAAAAACACTTTTTGAGCCAAGCCTATTGTATAAATAAATGACTAGTTTCTTTTCATATCAAAAGTCCCATAAAAAAGTACTCCCCCCTCCCCAGTTCTACCGGTAGCCATGAAGAATGTAAAAATTTAAATATGACACGTCCTTGTCAAAGAAAAGGTGCAAATCTATTAACAGCTTTAAAAGTGGCATTTGCAGAGTGTGATCATACAGTCATGTACTCATTCCCAAAGTGCAAATATTGCCATAATTTAACACTGTTTTGATTTAGTTGCAAGAATTAAACATTACAGGAGATTGAAAAGTACACCCAGGGCCTGCATCCGTGCCCTAAAGCCCCTCCCACTTTGGCCTCCTTCGCTAATGCGAACTCCAAAGTGTTCATTAGAGTTTTAGATTACTTCACACAGCCAGCAAAGTATACAATATATTAACAAAAGTTCCATATACATCAAAATAATGCAGACTCCGTCATAAAGTTCGAGAGTCTCAGGGAGCACGACTGCACCCGCGAGGCCCAGCCCCCGCCCACCCTCGCCCTCCAGCACATCTGCAGTATACGCGTGCTTCCACCTTGGAATACAATCAGTGCTTCTCTATCTTTGATTTCACTGCAGAGCTGTCAATAATCAACGGGGTTCCATTTAACTGAAGGAAAGGGGGTAGAGAAAGGGCTGGTCACTACTCATACTTCACAAGCAGAACGATCCTATCCCACAGAAAGGGGAAACGCCAGGCCCACCTCTGCCCACTTCCTCCCACGTGGTCCTCACGCTCTTTATGCTCTTCTCCTGAGCCCCTTTCAAACCTTTGAATCTGATCTTACTTACGCCTCACAAATCGGGGGCCACTCCTGAAGCTAATGAGGTGGAATTTTCTCTAGAAAACATCAGCATAGAGCACATAAATACATTTTGATTAGCATACATTGCATCCTCTCTCCTACAACGTCAAGGGATGAAAGCGGGCTGTTTCTGCGTGAGTGCTTCCTGAAATAGACTGCTGGAAGGTCAGTTTCCTACCTATCTGTGCCACACACCCTCTCCTCAGGGCTGAGCTCGAAGTCCACCTTGAGCCAGCTTCTGCAGGACACCGAAGCGTCACTCTTGCTTTCCCTCTAGGCAGATCCACCTGGACGCGCCGCTTCTGCTGTGCTGTGCGGGTGTGTCCCGGGGCCGGCAGCCCCTTCCTGGGTGCCCGGGCCTCTGGCGAAGTGCTCCACACTGTCCTCAGAACCTTCCTCCAGCCCAGTCCCTGCAGGATGGCTGTGCTCTGGGGGTGCAGTGCCTTCCTGAAGCATGTACTGCTCAGCTCCAGCAGGAGGCTGTGGAGCAGGGTCCGTCCCTAATCCTGTAAGCTGAGAGGAGTTTTTGAGGTGGCAATGGCACAGAGGGCAGGTCTCCTGCACGTACAGCCACTTCTTAAGACAGCCTGCGTGGAAGAAATGACTGCACGGCGTGATCACAGCTGATTTCATGTCCTAAAAGAGGGGTCAAAATGCACGTCATCAGTGTCGACCATCTGTAAAGTTTTTGTGCTGCCTCGAAAAGTTCTGGCTCCAACGTTTCATTCTAACACAGAGAGTATCTATAACACAAATCTTATAATGAAATTCATTTTAGTTCCACAACAGTGCTCCCGCTACCAGAGGCCTCTTACAGGGATAACACAAGAATCAATGGCTAAGTAATTTTTTTCAAAAAATAAACAAAGACCAAAAATAAGGAAAAAACTACCTTCTGTGTGTGCGTGTGTGTGTTACCGGGGACTGAACTCAGTACCCTGCACTTGTTAGGCAAGTGTTTATTCTACTGAGCTATCTCCCCAGCCCGAAACTACCTTAAATGGGGTTGGCTACATGTGAGATACAAGGCTTATACAACTGCAGCAGTACAATTACTTGAGCCATTGCTATGCCACAAGTGTAATTATAACCTCGGAAAATCTGAAGAAGACAGGACTTTTTCTACAGTTACACTTGGACACAACTGAACACATTATCCCATGATGAGATTATTGCAAGGAGACAAAAATCAGCCACATAACACCAGGGTATTGGCAAGGAAGTGGCAATTGTATTAGAGCAAATGTGTACAACCCACTTTCAGTATCTGGTCTGTACAGCCAGTGTTTCTCAACTTCTCAACATGCATCGGGACAACTTGCATCGGGACAACCAACACATACTCTTGGGCAACCCCAGGCCTATGAAGTCAGGGTACCTGACCAGATGATTCACAAATCTGTACCTTCAATAAGCCACTCAGGTGAATTTCATGTGCAGTGTGACAACCACCAGATTAAAAAGTGGCACATTTTGTATTAGTATTTCTTGTATAAAATATCTATGGTGAAGGAAGCTTCAGGACTTGAAGTTGAAATTTTAAGGATACACATTTGATGAATCTGCCATTAATTTGGAGATGCTTTAAAGTCCCAAAACAATGCGGTGTGGAAATTCCAGAAATTCCTTGCCAAGAACTGGTAACAACTGGGAGTCACTTGATAAGCAGAAAGCCATCCAAAGAAAAGCAGCCAGTTAGGAAGCTAAGCAATTCTAAGTATTTTCTAGGTAGTTTCAGCAGGGAGTTCTAGCGCCTCAAAAAAGTGATGTGACAACAAGAAATACAAACAGAGGACTCTTGAACCCCGAAGTAGAATATTTAGACACCAGCTGCTAAAGATGATATGCCCTGTGTCTGTCTTGAACACACTCTGTTCTGAATGCACAATGGGGCTATGGAGCACAAAACAGCGGAGAACCCTGCACTGTAAGGGCCCCTAACCAGGAAGTGGGGCAGGGAGAGGAGCGACCTTATTCTTCAGTCCTCTCAACGGCAGAAGTAAGCTAGCAAACAGTGTTTCACTAGCATTCAAAAGTATGCTCTAACCAAACTAACACATATATACATATGTATACGTGTACATATATACACACGCACATATATATGTACATATATATGTCAAATTTTACTATGAGAAAGAATTCTTATTCTTGATAGTTTTCCCCACAGACAAACACGTACACACCCCACTTAAGCTGTACAAGTAGCCCTGGAGAAAGGCCTTCCCTGTAGCCTCACTGACGCTGTGGTTCCCCCCACCTCTCACTCCTAAGAGTGATCTGGCATGGACTACAGCTTCTGCTGTTGCCCAGTTTTTGTCCACCACAGACAGTTCAGGAGAAAAAGCTGCTGCTTAGTCACTCTCTTACAGAGAAGGTGGATGACTAAACTATAGTTTTATTTCCAAGACAATTTAAATATTATATGTAGGTTGTACATACATACAAGGGCAATCAGCTCTGCATGGTGATGAGCCCAAGACGGCACCACCAAAGGGGGCCTCCAACACCTCTCTGCAGCCCCAAACACAAATCCTTATGACTCTGATCCCTAGGAACCCACAGGTAAGCACACCCGCTCTCCACCTGCATGAACTACACGAGACCTTCTCTCAGCCCCGGCAATACGAGAAGAGTCAGAATCTTGGCACACCACTTTTCAGAAGCTGCTGACGTGTGATAGTATATATTTGATAGTTAGTACACATCTGTATAAGTGTATGTGGGTATTCAGGAGTAAATGCAAAATACACCTGACCTGTTTTTCCTTTATTTATGGGTGAGCAATAATGTTAAAAATAACAGCAATTAGAACTCAAGAAGCTGAGGTAAAAATTTAACTTAGAACTAAAATGGAAATATCTTATGTCTTTAATGATTTCTGAGGCCCATTTTTACTTTACCCAGGAATTAATTCTGCTAGAAATTTAAGCTAAATTTGGTCGATGTGGTTGTAATCCCAGGGGATGTATCATATGACCCACCCAAACGGATTATTACTAAAGTCACCTGGTAACAGATGGCACAGATATCGTTGTGTTTCTCCAGCTGCTCTTTCGTAGCAACGGGTAATGACTTAATCTTGTTCACGGCATCTCTGCGGAGAAGAAAGCTCTTCCATCCCAGCTGGGCCCGAAGCCACACGTTGTAGTAGGAATGGATGAAGATGATCATTGAGCCCATTACAGTCCATTCTCCAAAGATGGTCTCAGAGACACCATAGGCCACCACACAGAGGGCCACGAGAAACTCCAGCAAGCGGTAAGTGCCGTTCACATAGTAGATGACGTCATCCATGTTTTCTACTGGCTCTTTTCTGAATTCCTCAACCATAAATAAGACATAAATAAAAAGTGTTCCCAGTACCTGAAAAAAATGTATATATGTATTAAAATAGGTTATGAGAACTAAGAAACTTTTCCACAAGTTTTATACAGTAACACATCCCTGGTCTTTTGGGATACCGCAATAGCACCCAAGGAAAGATAAATGTAACTGAAAGAAAAAGACATTGGAATAATTAAAATGAGAACAACCTTAGTCAGTCTTCTCTTATTCATTCAAACAGCACCAAATCTACCTTAATTCTCCTCATGCTGTTGTCATTCCTGTTCCTCAACTCCCAAAGAAACTTTACTTCTACAAAGAACAGTGAATATGTTCTCAGTGGCGGTTACTGTATTTTTTAGGCTTCTTACCGACTAGGCAACAAAGTCTACCTTTAAGTTAGCAAACCTGCTATGTATCAGGTAACTATGGGTATTTTCAAGTAAATATTTAATCTTTTAAAAATGTATTTCTTTACTGTGAGCAATTTTGTCAGTTATTATATAAAGTCAATTAATCCTAGGCTTACCTGGAGGGAAGTGAGAATGCTACTGGAAATGATGATGAGAAGCCAAAAGTCCATATGGAAAAACTGGCAAATCATGTAGGCCATATATGCAGGGAACACCAGTAAAAACAAACAAAGGCTTACAGCACGGAAGTGTTTCCATAAACTCCTGGAAGATAAAATTATTCTTTCAGAACGCCTGCCTCTGGGTCAAGCTGTTTATCAACTGCTTTGATTTCTTTAGTAGTTAGAGAACTATTTATGCTTTTGAGCTCTTGAATTACCTGTAGGAAATGATTTTTTTTTTCTCCTAATTCTTCAATTTTACTTGTCTTAAAACGTACTGCCATCCAGCTGCTGGTAGCATTTTCTTACCACAGGCAATGGTGGAGAGAACAGAACCTAACAACTGGTCTTTAGTTGCTCTTGCAACCCAAGGACAGTCTCGTCTCGGGCTCACACTGCAGCCTTCATGAATATTAACCTGGACAGTGCTGCAAAACTACCTCGGACCTGCAGAGGGTTCCTGGTTTGCTCCTTTTTCTATGTATTCCCTCTACATCTGACTGTGGAAAAGGAAGTCAGAAGTGTGGCCCATTCAGCATCCTTCAAAGACCCAGAACTGGATCTGCTGTTGCTTATGGAAGCGGAATTGTGAAAAGTTTTTCTCTCATTTTTTTCAAACTTTCTATAAGAATCCATTAGTTTCATTAATATGATAAATCAACAAGTATAATTAATAACATTTCCAGAGACAACAAACTACTAACTGTACTCAGGTCAAAGCAAATCATTTTCAAAACTATTAAATGGCTATTTAACTGAGTTGACCATTGAATTTGACATCTTAAACACAACTATAGAGAAATATTAAACCTTAGAAACAAATCCCAAATAACTATAATTAACTATGATGATTAAGATTATTTGAAACATATCTAAGAGCTGAAAACCCACTTAAGTGATCTGTTCAGTCAGCCTGCCATTTGAGAACATCTTACAGAATGCAGAGCAACATGATTACTGAGACACCAAGATACACCTAATAAACCTTGATTAAAATGTTACTTTGCAATGTTTAAAAATTTGCTATCACAATTCTACCTCCCAAGAGACTGCCTGTCCCAGTTCAGAGGTATTTCTATAATCAATAATCAAAATGCGGATAGAATACTGGAAAAAAATAGTGACATTGAATTTTAGGCAATTCTTTACATGATTTTCTTGCATTAACTGCAATAGGCCAAAATAGTATCTTTAAAGAACTGAGTTCATTTTTTATTCCTTAAGAAAATTTTACAATATAAGACATACATGAACGCAGTTACTAATTCCATTTGGCCTCAGAAGGTGTCAAGAATTCCTATAAACCTCAGTAAGTTTCAGCTTCCTGAAGACCATCAAATAAGGCTGGCACTTTATAAACACTGTTATATGAGACTGGGCGTGGTGGCGCACGCCTGTAATCCCAGCTCTTGGGAGGCTGTAAACAGGCGATATATAAACATTGTTATGACTGTAAGGCAGCCTTTATTTTTCTTTTTTTCACTTGCATCTTTTTCATGTTTCTTTCCCTTTAGCACTACACAAAATAAAATGACCTATTACTTGCTATGTCTGTTGGACTATGTTCTATGTCTTTAATTTCAGAACTGGACATGTATAAAACAGACTGCTCACATAGTCTCTGGTGTGGCTTTTAAATATAAAAATATTGAGGAAGAAAAAGATAAGAAAAGTCAAATAAATCAAACATTTCACAAGAGAAAAATAACAAACTTATTGAATTAACCTAACCCTATACCAACTGTCCATTTATTTTCCATTTGAAAACATTCATTAAATGTTTAGATAACTAATTCATAGAAAGAATATTACGTAAATTAAATAAAGAAACAATAGGGAGTTTCTCACTTATCTCTAGACGCTCCCAAGGCCAGAACAATCGGATCTGCAATCTCTAACATAGACTGCAGGATAGAGGCCACAACAATGAACAGGATGATGCTGAGCAGGAAGGCCCGGTGCACAACCTGCAGCTCTATGAGGCCAGTCTGCACCGCTAGGATTAACAGTGTTACTCCTTCTGTCATGCCCCTAGAAAGAAAAAGTAGATAATTTCAGAGCTAAGTAAATAACCCAAATCTCCTTTAATTGCAAGAGAAAATAATCCACAGTCCTATAGTTGTCACACATTTTTTATTCTAATTTACACTAAAAATCTGATCAGCACACAATTTCACATCTTTTAACAATGTGACATGCTGCAGTCACACACATCCCCACACGTAAAACCCTACTCACTACTGTTAACATACAAAGAAGGAAAATAATTCCAAAGATAGTTTTCTAACCAGACTATGTAAATATCCAGGTACTTCTGCCACGCGTACATATCCACTGGATTATTCTATTCTTACATCATGAACTATATCCTAATTGTAAAACATAAGATACAGGTGAATGAATGTCTTTCATAATTTTGAAGAGGAGAACGTTTCTTTAAAAAAAAGTTGTAAGAACCACAGCATCAAGAACTCAAGAAGAAAAACAGACCCCCTCAAATTTAAAGACTCAATCCAAAAACAGACATTTGAAATGAAATGTCTAAAATGAAGTACAAACAGTAAATAAATATATTAAAAAATGCTCAACATCACTGGTCATTTAGAATGGCCATCATCGAGAAATCGACCAATAAATGCTGGTGAGGCTGTGGGATGGGAGAAAACGGAACCCTTCTCCATTGCTGGTGCGCATATAAAGTGGTACAACCACCACAGAAATCTGTATAGATTTCTCAGAGCACTATAACTAAAGGTTCCACTTGACCCAGCTGTTTCCCTTCATGTATCTTCCCAAAAGAACTAATATCACCACACCACGGTAATCACATATGCTTAGGGTAGCACCATTTATAATAGCTAGACCTTACAAACAGCCCATATACCCATCAAAAGATGAATGTGTCAAGAAAATGTAGTATTTATATACAAGGGAGTACTGCTCTGCCAGAAGGAAAGATAAACCTGAGTCATCGGTAGGAAAATGAATGTACCTCAAGACCTCAATCTTGAGTGAAATAAATCAGACACACAAGTTTAAATGTCACACTCTTGTGTGAGAAACCCATAGGATAAATAAGGAGCATAATGAAGGCTAGATACTGAGAAGTAGGAAAAACACAATGAAAATGGGAAGTGGGGAGAACAGGAATAAAAATCAAATATATTATGCACAGGTACAAATTCTTTATGATGAATGTGAGGAACATGTATCACAAACGTACTAATAAAAAAATAGTTTCATCCCCCGGCACGCTGAGCCAGCGAGACAGGGTGTGGTGTCGCACATCTGTAATCCCAGGACTTGGGTGGCTGAAAACAGGAGAATAACTACAAGTCCGATCTGTGTAGTGAGGCTCTGTAGGCCCATATACTAAATACATTTTTTTAAAAAAATTGTTACTTAAAAGATGAAATTAAATAAGAAATTCAATTATTTGATATCAAGAAATTCTTTTATTAGGAATGATCATTATTGCATTTCAGTTTTTTCAGAAGATTTAGTTTGAAATATTTAGAATGCAATTATATTATATCTGGGACTGTATCCAAATAATTGCAGGCAGGGCATCGTGGGGCTGGAGACAAGCTGAATGGAGCAGATGGACACACATGACACGAGACCAGAAATGAAAGATGAGGGGCATTCACTGTACTATTATCTCAGCTTCACTGGTTTGAAATTTTCCAAATGAAGGTTTTAAAAAAAAGAGATGCTACTAGGATCTCACAGCAGCATTTTCTAACAGAAAGCAATACAAAGGAGATGCATCCATGTTGTGGAATTCTTCCATCAAAAGAATGAGCTGTGTTATGTGCTGTCACCAGAAAACTCCCTGTAAAATACACTACACAACAAAATAAAGTACACAGTGTATGAAAATTAACGCAGAAAACCCCAATATACATAAATGTACTTTTCTCTATCAAAATTTTAAAATAACCAAAGTTGCTGGCTTGGGGGAAAGGAAATGAGATCTAGGGGGATGGAACTGTCACTCTGCATTTTGTAACTTGTAAACAATGTGAATTCTGTACTCTCACATGAATTATTTTTCTCTTTTCCATCACTATGCCCATTTTCCCACTGTAGCTGCCGCTGGAGTAAGCAAGAAGACTATTAGCTAAAGATTTTAAGAAAAGGTTAAACGAAGGGTTTAAGAAATGGTTATAGGGCTGGTGAGATGGCTCAGTGGTCTGAAGCACCTACTTAGAACAAGCTTAGCAAAGCACAGGGACCGCGGTTCGATCCCCCAGCACCACATGCCAGCCAGCCCCGCCCCCTGGTGGGCTGAGCTGGCCACACACACACACACACACACACACACAAATAATTTTTTTTAAAAAAGAAATGGTTATATACACTTACAGAAATAAAATCATTAAATTCCTTTAGGAAGAAAACAAATGATAAAAGGTTCTAGACTCATGGTGAGTAAAAAAACAAAGACTAACTGTTCTACATTCTCAGTGCATTCTTTGAAACTGCACTAAACTATATTCAAATTCGTTAAAATATACAAAAAAACCCAAAAAAATGTCTCAGAGAGAAATAAGATTTTTATTTTGTTTTGAGACCCTGTACAAAAAAAAGGGTTTTATTTTTATGTATTTATTTATTTTGGCCAGCTCAACCCACACGCTGGCACGGCATGTGCTGCTGGGGTTCAAACCACTGACCCTGCAAGCTTGCCTAAGCAGGCACTTTAGCCCACTGAGCTACTCTGCTGGCCCAAGAGAAATAAGATTATTAACACAGCTACGCTTAAACTTCAACGGGAAAAATCTTTTTAAAAATCTCTTAAATATAAAAAGTATCCAAAATCTGTGTGTGTGTGTGTGTGTGTGTGTGTGTGTGTGTATTAACATGGAGTTTATCTTTTCATAGTTTTAACCCAAATACAACTACTTTAAAAAAAATTCAAATTTCCATTTTCTCTTAAAATTCACAAATGAAAGAAATTCACTGGGCTTCTTTTCAGGCTTGCTATTGGATCCAAATTAAAGTTCTTTATTCAAATAAAGAACTTACCTATTCATGGCAGGATCGTTCATGAAAGCTCTGTAACCTTGCAAGTAAAACTTGCACAGAGTCAGGACACCCAAGGCGACAAAAGAAACCGTGAAGACCAGACCCAGCAGAGAGTATGGAGTGCTGCAGCATTCAGCGATACTGGAAGACAGTGGGGCAAAGTAATGGTATCAGAATGAATCTTCTATTCAGAATAAAACCATCTAAAGTCTCCATAAATAATCACTAAACTTCATGCTCATTAAATCAACTCAAACCAGAATCTGGGGAAAAAAAATCAACCAATCATCCAAAAATAATTTAAATCATATTATTATTCAAAACTACATTTTTTCCTACCTCTTTAGCTGATATCCAGTACACACAGCATCATATTTTAGGCAATGTCTGTACTTTTTCTTAATTATCTATCATCTCTAAATACTGTAAAAAAAATCAGAGTTTCAAATTTTGTTCAAACCTTAAAAAACATAGCCTGGCACATGCCTGAAATCCCAGCACTCAGGAGGCTAAGGTAGGAGGATTTGCGAGTTCAAGACTAGCTCAGCCTACAAAGCAAGCTCCAAGCCAGCCTGAACTGCATAGTGAGACCCTGTCTCAAAAAAAAGACAAAATAAAAATAAAAATAAAAAAACATAGTTAACATGCTAGTAGGTATTCCAAATGATGTTGTACTGTTGTCCATTGTTCTGAGAAATGATGACCACTAGAACTGTTCAGATTGTACTGCTAATGTGGTTACTTGCTAAAATTCATGCTTTCACCAAACTGTATGGAGCACTCCACCCACACACACCCCTCTCCAACTATGAAAGTATCAAACAGTACTGGTACCTCAATTTTAATTTAGGGTTAGATAAGTAAATTTTTTACAGGGTTACTTTTACGAACGTGACCCAGACCAATAGTCAACATCAAATTTTATCAACGATTTTGCTGCAATAACACACATTAAGTAACTGCAAGACCCACTAAAGCTTAGAAATACTTTCATTGAACATATTTAAAATTAATTTATGGGTATAAGTAAACTGGAACTATTATGTACTAATGAGACGGATTTGGCATTTGTATCTTAACTTAGAATTTCATTTATATGCATGAGCTCATTCAAACAAGTCAATGCCTGTCATAGCAAGGAAAGCCATGCCTGAAATTTACTATACAGTGTCATCTTCTGTGTTAAGTATCTTTCCCTATAAAATTGTTTACAGTTAAATATTGTGGGAAGACATCTAATTTTATGTAGGCCCATGTAGTATATTAGTGATGAGGAAAAAAGTCTCATTTTTCTTTTAGAAGCCAGAATAACTAGCAGTCATTGATAGCTAAAGGAATAAGTAGATGTAAGACCTTTTTACAGATCTAAATTTCTCAACCGCTGCACATTTTTCTGACAGAAATCATTAAACACAAGTCATCAAGAATGATAATCATGACTGAAAACACTAAGACTTTACTCTCATTGAAAAAAAGTCTAAAGAGCTCTATTTCTATACTCATCCTCACACTTGCAGAAACCATCTATACCCAAATTATATGATGATATGTCCGAGAGGAGTGCATTCATTTTCCTCTCACTTCAGCAAAGATTTTGGTACACAGGAAACAAACTGAAGAATTCGAAAGGGAGAAGTGAAAGATCTGGGGAAATTTATTAGAGCTTTTCTTCCCTACTCTCCTCAAATCTTTATTGAGTTTGGTTGCCATTTTCTGTCTGTAAACAAAACTCCATCATTTTATTTTTCACCTGTCTACATGTGCTTTTTTTCTTGTTTTGTTTACTTAGTCAGGGTATTCTGGTAAACTACCAACCTTCTTTTTGTAAATAAGTTATTTTTGGCAAGGAAATATAAAAATATAACATGGTATACAAAAGCACCAAGAAAGACATCTAAGTTCTTACAGACAGAAATTAACAAAAGGGAGCCGGCCAAATAGCTCAGCGGACTAGCGCCTGCTTAGGCAGACACAGGGACCACGAGTTCGATCCCCAGTGTGCTATGCCAGCCCTGCCCCGGGGGGCCTGCTGAAATGGCAACTGACACTGGGCTTGGTGGCACTTGCCTATAATCCCAGCGCTTGGGAGGCTGAAAACAGGAGGATCACTATGAGTCCGATCTGTGTAGTGAGACCCTGTAGTCCCTGTACTAAAATTCATACAAAGAAAAAAAATAATAAAATTTTTAAAAATTAACAAAAGGACCAATATGGGAAACTTCACAATTAAAACTTCTTAAATCAAAACATTCTTATCTTGAAGAAAAGCAATCTATCTGGCTGTACGTAGAAACAGAATTCAAAAGCTCATTTTGGCAGGGTAGCTAAACTCTCATTATTATTTTCTTTGCAAATAAATTCAAATTTATTCAGATTTTAGTGACTCGTTAAGCCTATTAAATCATATGTATGCTTCATTTTCAGTTTGTTATAACAATCCAGTTTAAAGCATAATCAACTGCAGTCCCACACTACAGTTATTAACAAAATTTTATCTCTAAATTAAGTAACTTTGTGGATCGTTTAGTATTTCTGCTCAAAATCTTAGTAATATTTATAATAAACACATACACTAAAGTTATTTAATAATGAATTTATATTCAAATGTCACTTACATTTTTATACAAGCTACTTATAAAAATTAAAGATAACTTATTTCCACAGAACACAAAAACTGTTAAAATAGGTATTACCAACACATTTGAATGACTGACTGACTTATACTTGTGTTAGTGTTTTTAATCTTTGGACTGAACATATACTGCACATTCTCTGTACCACTAGGTTCACAGTCCTGCAGAGGACCAGATGGCTGAAAAGCAATGGCTGTATTATCTGTAACTCACAGCTTTTTTGAGTATCTGCTTTTTATTTCCAGAAAGATAGGTCTTTATTCTTGTCTTTTAAGTGACAATAAGCCAGGGAACCAAGATGTACTTATAACAATATGCTAGATTCTCAGGGGCTGAGATTCAAACTTAGACTAGAAAGAATAACATGTGGATCTAATATAAGCTCACACTGAAGATATTGGGAAAAGAAACACTCAAATGGCAAAAGACACACAAAACAACCTAAACTATGGGCCAGGGAGATGGCTCAGTAGAATAAGCGCTTCCCTGGAAAGCACAAGGGCCTGAGTTCAATCCCTGGTTCCGCAAAAAAAAAAAAA